ATTATTTTCAAATCATTGAGTTTTTAGCATGCCATAAAGCATTTCGAGTATTTCGAAATACCTATCAATACCTATATTTATATCTAGATCTATATGTAGGTATATCTATATCTACTTCTATATCAATATCTATATCTACAGTAGCGGTCATAGAAACTGCATCACAAAATCGGTAAGATTTTTATGTGTTTTATTGAAAAACCATTTCTGTACAAAAAAAAACATTTTTTCTAATTTCAAGTGAAGAACTTCTTTCAAAAAGAAGAGAGTCAAGTCCTTACATAGTGAAGGTGAAGAACCTCCTTCAAAAAGAAAAAATTCAAATGCTTACGTGGTCAGGATACAGCCCTTATTTGAATCCGATTGAGCACCTAATCGAAAAAAAAATAATCTAAATTACGCTATTAAACTCCAAAGAGCTCAATAAAGACATAGAAAAGGTTTGGCATGAAGAAATTTCCCTGGAAACATTACAAAGTTAAGTGAACTCCATGGTATCTTCGATCATCGATTAATGCGGTAATTTAGGCTAAAGGTGGCTCTACTAAATATTAATCTTTTTTATTTATTTTTTTTTTATATTCTGTGAATATAACATTTAGTTGTTAAAGTAAACTACAATAAGCAAAAATAAGAAAAAAATTGTTTGTTTTTCTAGAAGAAACACATTTTTTTAAATATTCAAAAAAGGGATATGTACGTATATTACCTTATATTTTTAAAAAATTCTCAAATTGAAAATCAAATATTTTATAAAATAATGGGAAATAGATTCAAAAATCAAATAAACATATATTTCATAAAAGTACTTTTTTATTTTTTGGCATATTTGACGAAAATGTGATATTTGATGCAGATGTTAGTAGTTCTACGTTTTTTAGTTAGTTGTGAGCTTTACAAAGTAAATGGATCAAAAGTATTGGAAAGTATTTTATAGTTATTTTATTAAAATCAAATAATAAATCATATAAATATAAATCGTAAAAATATAAATCATGAACTTCATAATACAAATTTTATAATTAAAGTTCTTTATTGATAACCATAAACAAATTCTAATATAATTTCATTATTAGGAATTAATAGAGAATAAAACAAAAGAATTTTGTGTTCTCTGACAAAAAATCTATTTCGAATGGGAAATTACAAAGGAAAAGGAAATCAGTAAGGAAATTATAAAATCCAAATAAAAAAAAATTTAATAAGTGAATTCTTTGGCGGTTTTGGATATCGCCATAGATATTTAGCAATATTCATGTCGATCCACATCAGTGGTCATTGAAAAAATCTGTGGCTTATTTGTCGATATATAAGCTTAGTTTAGAATTAAACCCTGTCAACTTTAAACTATTTATCTATGTATTAACATGCGAAAGCAAAGTACTTGTGTCTTTCAAATTTGATATTGTATTGCTTTTTGTTAGTCATTCATTAACAACCATTGCACTTACTGTAATATTAATTAGAATTTACGCATAAACCACAGCTATATAAATTAACATAAGCATTATTAATTGTTGGTTTTTTAAACTTCAACCTTAACATTATATATAATTTTATTCAATATCAAAAAAAATTTTAGCGTATAGCATGATTTTCTAACTAGTTCTCAAAGTAAATCACTAAAATAAATAGTAACGATTTAAACATATCGTTGACTATTTGTGATAAAGAGGTAATACAGCTAGAAAGAAGCTTACTTTATTTTTTCTGTTTTGGTATTCACAAAGCCTTGCAACCCTTAGATAACGTCAATTGAATGCATAACCGCTCTACGGATAAAGGACATTAATATACTATATATACAAGTATTGCCAGCTATTGCCCGCTTCATTGCCGATAACTATAATATAACAAGAATATGTCAAAGAAATTGCGCAAAAAAACATGTACAAATATGAAAGATGCATTTTCTATTTACTAAATTTTTTTTTTGTTTGGTAAATGTAGAATCTAGGTAGAAAAAAAATTTACAAACGGCAAACATTTTTCAGATTGTTCCATTTTGTGCACAATTCTGCCATGTCTACATTTTTGCCCAGAGTAAATTGTTGCCATTTATTTACTAAATTGTTGCCACTTCTCAGATTGTATTCTGCTCTGTTTCAATAGACCGAAATTATCACATCGCCAGGATATAAAAATTCAATGAAGCAGAAAAATACTTTTCTCTCAAATTGCCGAACATTAACAAGTTTTTATGCAACGAATTTTTTTGGTTTTTTTAATAGTTTTAATTTAATTAAAATTAATACAAAAACACGGTAACATTTTTTTTAACACTCATACTTTTTATCTCCACTGAAATGATGACTTTTTATGGAAAAATTTATATGAGTAAATAAACTATAAAGATAGCACTATAAAGATAATGTTTATTTGTTAAAAAATCAATCAAAAATATTAAAAATTGCTTAAAATTAAATGAATTATATAAGTTAAAAAAATATAGAATAGTCACGAAGAAGACTTAATTGTTTTTTTTTATTATATTTCTCACATTTTAAATAGAATTAAATGAAAAGTAGTAAATTTTCTTATTAATTACCTTGATATTTATCTACAACCATATTTGCGCATACCCATGGGTCGACAAAAACAAAGGCCACTCCAATAGCATGAATTTGCATTAAGAGAGAAAGTTGCATATAGCATAAATCTAAAAACATAAGTTTTAGTAGTTTCTTTATAATTTCCGAACTTTAAACTCATAGATTTTTATCATCTCTTAGATAATAATCGTTTACATACATTCTAGTCATTCATACATTCTATATGTATGCAGATTTGCTTTTTGGGTATTAATATGGACGTGTTTAACATCAAAGTTTATTAGTTTTAAAATAATAGAGTTTACCGACTGAAGACTTCGCTTTTTCTCTCTAGTTTGTAGGAGTATATAAGTTTCTTGAAAAATTGCAATATCTAAATGTACAAAAATATATTCGAGATATACATTTAGAATGTAAATACTGATAGATTCTTTCCTAAAATATTATTATCGACCTTAATTCTTTATAGGTATTTATTTTCTTCCCAGGTTTAACTTTAAATAATATAAAACCAAAAAACGACTTCAAGTTCCACAAAAAAATCCCTCTTATATGGTTTTAAATATTTGTTGTATTTTTGAGTACATTTTATACAAAATTGTCTAACATATTTGATGATTTTATTATGAACTACAGAACTATACATTATGTAGTTCTGAAAGTAAATATTAATAAAATACATATATAATCACAATTTCTAAATTATTTTTAATTTACAATATTGTTTGGACCTCACGTGAAATATAACATCATTCAAATGTTCTTCAAGGAGCATGCTATAATTCTATATCCTTTATAACTTATATTCGATGACTTCTCAATATCACAACTCAGCCGTAATTTGACGGATGTTTGTTTTTAAAGCATCGATACTTTAAGATTTGTTCAAATAAATATGATTCCCTTACGTAACCTTTACAAAAGTTGAATGGTAACAAATGGCATTGGTTTTAGCTAACTTATGTCACAAAAACGTGAAAGGATATGTTCTGGAACTTTCTTACGTAACAAAGCCAAAATAGGGTGTGTTGTGTGTCTTAATGCATGGTCTATGTTATATGAAACCGTCGTATCTCCCACATATCTGCGCAATATATAACTCTAAGTCAAACAATTGAGAATCCTGTAATAGTATTAATTAGCATTGTCAGTTTATAATTTGGTTAACAATACTAGATCACAAAATGGACTATCTTTGTTTTCAGTTCGGAATTTAAATTAAAAAATCTTATAAAAATGGCTAAGTGAAATCATATCTTTTACATATTTATTGTGATAATAGTCTGCTGTCGAATAAAACCACATATTTCAATTTTTGAAATGTTGTCATATAACAAAGCTCCTTTTTATAAAAATTTTATTTTTTAATTTATGACACTACTTGTAGAAATAGCTATTTTGAAAATTGAGTATATAGTATATTTTGTCATTTTAATGAGAATAAAATAAAACATAAATTGAGAGCCCATATTTCTCCGAAGATTCTACGATTACATTACTGTCCGTGGAAATCATGAACGGCCCACAATTAATAGAGTTTCTGCTTCCCATTTTAATGGTGGAATTTTAATTTTAACAATACCACACACTGCCACTCAATTTTCCGATAGAATGAGGCTATTGTAGATAAATGACTGCATGGTCGGGCAATCGTTTTGAATAATTTTCGTTAGGGATATGTGTAGTTGCTGGTCTACTTACATATAAAATCAGACATAGTAAGTCTCAGTTGCCAGCAGCAGAGCACGTATCCCCGATATAGTACCCTTTATAAAATTACATATTCAAGAAACACTTTCATCATTTGTAAGAACCCACAGCTGCCCAAAAATTTCTTTTCCGAATAACATTTATAACTTTTATATAAAGTGACAAAACATAAATATTATATTGCTAATGACAGCTTAAATAATTTTTATTCTTGTTTCCACATTTTATAATAAAATGAAACTTAACTTATATTATAATTAAAATTCGGATTCAAGCAATAACTCTATAACTAAACTAAATTTATTTTTATAATACAAGTTCCAGGTAGTATTGGGTAATCTAATTTTCGATTGGTAAAGCTGGGGTAATTTTTTGAATCGAAATGCTCTTTTAATACAATTTTAGTACAATTTTATTTTCGATTGATAAATCTGGAGAAAAATGTTTAACATAATATTAATTTTTGACACATTAGTTACTTTGGCAGAATAGTAACATTGCCCTGAAATTAACAACTGTTTTATATGATTGGACAAGTAAAGTGTGATTTAGATAACTCTAAATTTGTTCAATTGGGCAACAAAATTTGACAGATCGAGAGTAAATTTAGATTGAATACCGATTTAGCAATCGAAAACGCCATAAATGAAACCGGAAAAATAAGCTAAGTATGCCTTGATCAAAAGTTCACAAAAATGTTTATTCAAAATAAAATTTCATCAAATTTTAGAAATAAATTCGAAAGGTCGTTTTGTTTACTTGTTTTCTGCACACTTAATTTATTTTCCAATTTTCTTTTCTTAAGCATGGAGAAAATCACAGATCCGGTACGTGTATCATTAGCTGATGTTTTGGCATTATCTCAATTTCTTTAATATACTATTATGTTTGTAATTTTTACTTCAATGAGTAACAATTGATTCCGTTTACTTTGCACTAAACGTATATCTTTTTATCCTTTTCCCACTTAGAACAAACGGACCCGTCGCTATGTTGAGGAAGCGTACGAACAAATAATGAAACGCCCTGACATTGTAGATGTGTTAATTTTAAATAAGATTGGTAATCCTGTGAAGACCACAATGGAAGAGGAAATTGCTATACAATGTGCTGGTCTTTATGAATTGTTACGTCTGAGGGCTCACTACATAGTACACAAATTGGATCAAGAAGACGAATTGCTTATGGTACGCTTGCGTACCGGTGGTACAGAGGTGATTATATGTCCGGATGGTAATATTACCTGCATCGTGGTTCAACGTCCTGTTGATCGCATGCAGACTTAGTATCTACATTAACTCACTGTGTTTATTTTTGTTTTGATTTTTACCAACTTATTTCATTGACTTCTAAATATTTACGAATTAAATAAACTGTTTCTTGACCTTTGTCTAGCCACAATTTGTACAAACTGTTTTCATCGAAATTAATTTAGCAAATATATCTTCATCTACCATTGCTAATCAATTTTGTTATTGCCTGGTTATAAAGACCTGAAGCCAATCTTGTTTGTTCAAAACATTTCTAATATTTCAATTGCGTCTTAAAAACAAATTAAAAAGTTTTATTAAAATGTAAAGTACACACACTTTTCGACAAATAACCTCAGTTCTTAAAGCACAACAATAAAAACAACATGAAAATCTTTTTCCACGAATGTCTCAACTTAAAATTGGTAAACTTTACCAAGGAGTATAAAAAGCATCTTGAGATTTACAACAAAAAAAAAAACAAAAACAAACAAAAAAGAACAAAATACGAAATACCTAAGGATAAATGTATAAAAAATTTAAAGTTTGACAGCATTTCAAATCAGACCGAAGACTTGAAAAAATAACAATAAAAAGTTACTACATCATTGAATATCGCATAATAAACCGAGAGAAAATGAAAACTTTCACCTTTTCGACATAAGTTCTGAGCAGCTGATGGACTAACAAGACCATTCGAATTGGCAGTTACTTAAATTGGCCGTAATATGAGAAAAGGTGAACTTCGAGCATCTAAAAGGAAAGAAATCCTAGAAAGAAAATCTAAAAATCAACCATAAAAATAATGAACTTGTTGTTTAGATGCTGGCATGTAGTGTGCTAAATGGGGTATGATTATGCCTTGTGTATAAAAATATTAAAATGCTCAAAGACACATTTGGTTCGGAACCAATAAATGAATATAGGGAACCATAAAAACGCTAAGTGTGGGTAAAGCAATTCATTGAATATGTGAGAAGTTATAAAATTATAAATATTTTTATTGTTTGCGATGTGATTGACACTTGTTACTCGCTTGTTATCAACAACTTCAAAAAACAAAATACGTTTCCTTATTATAGAATTAGAAAGGCAAAACAGCCTATTTAAAATTTCTCCTTCACAACCAACTAATGAACCAATGAATAAGTATTCTTAGAATATTGATAATTCAATTCTTACGTCCTAAATAGCATACTTATTAATATAAATAATAATAATAAAACGCACACGTTTTTATTCGCAAATACTGAATATCTTGATGATAATATTATCATTATTATAATAAGTTGAAAAAAAACATTAAATCTTTTTTAGAAATAATTTAAGATGAAATTCTTTATACAAGTTTTCATACTAAGCATTAACCCTCCGATAGTTAATAACCATCTAATACCATGTTTCCACTTCTTACTTAGTAAGTTAGTTAAGTAATTTTAAAATTTTTTTCGTTTCCATTGACATAAGTTATTTATTGCATGTAAAAGAGCTTTAATATGTCAGAAAGTTCTTTAAAGTTTTAAGATAGCTTCTGTTCGTTTTAATGAACTTCACTCAATAATATACCACACCAAAAATTAAATATATAATAGATATATATTAAATCATGTATACATATATATATATATTAAATATTCATTACATATGTTAATTCATAGGAACGAAGATTTTATTAAATATTTACTTCTTCAGTGCGTTTGCTTACAGCTTAGCTGTTGTTTGTTTACACTTTGCAAATAAAACATATATTACAAATATTATAAATTTTGGCATTCACCTTAACTGAGCTGATTTTTTGACAATAAGCTCATTTATATAAAAGCACTTGATATTATTAATCATCTTTATTAGTAGATATAATCAGTAAAACCGCCTAAATGAGACAGTGTGAATGTAATATTACTTTATTTTTAAGTAAGTTAACAAGCGCTGAATGTTTTATGTATGGCAAATGGAATTTATTTAATAGGTTATACTTACTAAGTAAGCAATGGAAATATACTATAAGGGACTAGAAAATACACAGTCTTTTCTTATAACGAAGGGACACTTATTTAAGAGATCACCCAGTTATAACTTATTAGCTTTCTAACCATGCACTTTATTTTTTTTTTTTTTAAGTTATATTATGTTCACAATTTACTTATCGTTATCAATAATAAGCTTAATGTAATGTAAGCTTAATGGAAATTTAACTTAGCTTAAATAAATGGTCTCCTTTCAAAAAACCCAAATAAAAATTCTTACATCTCTTGAATATTATAGTATAAGATAAATTCTATGCATTCTATTCTATGTAACTGTTTATTGGAATCACATATTTTATATGACGAAGATCTACGTGTTTATTGATTCATTTGTTGGTAAAAAATCAGTGGTCCGGTGGAACTAATCTGTTTTTTTTTTTAATTGGTGTAGTATTCTTATATTTGAGTTACAAGCTATATTCCACAACTATATTCGATGAGATGGGATTAATGCTAAATCGTCTTGAATAAACGAACTTTATTACGAAGGTGCAATTTAGATCCTAGATCCAGCAATCAGTTCATTTGTTTTATTTCAAGATTTTTTGTTTATATGTATATTTTCCAAGTTAATCTTCTTTGTAATTGAGAAGATATTTAAGACTAGTACTCATTGAAGTGGTGTTTTGGAAAAGATTCCTCGTCGCATAGTATTAGTGATACTCGTAAAGTGAACATTTTTTTTATAACTTCGATGAATTATAGATTCCTATACAATTTCTCTTTATAGTAAACAATCTCTTGTTTAATGTTTATCCCCCTCTTCACTTTAAACAGCATCTAACCAATGGTTTATCGGTATAACGTTTGCTCAAAATCCGTATTGCAGTTCATTTGAAATCTTTTTTTAACACATATGCGTAGCATATCGTAACCATTCAAAAAATATAATTTCACGAAAAAGGTGAAACTACATTATGATTGAACAGCTTTAAAGCTTTAAATTAAATAGTTTCAAGGTATTTACAATCAAAAATTATTCATCGCATTTTTTTTCAAGTGCTGCTAAATATAAAATCCCAATCTTACAAATGCATGCGTTCAAATAGTTAGAAAAATAATTACAAAATTAAAAATTAGTTTAAAAATTATTGTAAAAAGAGCATCACTTTGTCATACCCCTTTTAATCCGGTATGCATTAGATGTTTTTTATTAAATAAGCATATTTTCAATAATATTTCTCAAAACTACAAACAGCGATTATATTAATAGCTTTTGTTTCAAGGCTTTGAAACGTAAACGTTAAACGACTCATAGGTCTTCTTAAATTCTATAAAGAAGCAGTAAATATCCTGTACGTACTGTGACGGAGGAATTTCTTAAAACATTTTATAAATAAAAATTATTGGTCAACCGATGATGTACCATCACAAGATCATTTTTTTATAAGTAACGATGAGATAAATTATATATATGTGATATATATGTGATATATATAATCATACATTAAAATAGAGCATTTGAACAGCACTTTGAGCTACTTTAAACATTCTTGGAATAAAAATATATAAAAAGGAATTACGATTTGTATCACGATATTGAGGAAATGCTGTAAGAGTTATTAAAATTTTCAATAAATTTTTTTGCTTGTGCATTTGGATGTTATTGAACAAATTTATTTTCTACTATTTTCATTTCTTTATTAGAGTTACCTTGAGTTACCTAACATTCCAAAATTTAATTGAACTATTTTTGTTTCAAATTATAGAATATAGTGATACAATAATCTTATCTATGTTTCTCCAATCAATGAGTAATTTTATAATTAATACTCTTAATAGTGTATACTCTGACAGACTGCTGAAACCACATGGTACGTAAAATGCCATTATTTAACTTAATATAAGTTAAAGTTACACGCGTTTATATATTATATAAAAAAATGACTAACTAAAAGAGTAATCTTTCAATGTATTCGAAAAAACTTTTTTTTAAATCTTTTTATTAAATCTTGAATCTAATATCTGATGCTAATTCAGTGAATCAAATTTACTAAATTTAATTCATGTGATACTCAAACATCAAACTTCTTTGCATAGTCTGCCCTTTTTAAATGATCCTAAACTATCATGCAGTTTATGTTTAGTGCCTTCTCTATCTCCTGACAGCTTGTGTGTCGATCTAATTTCACCAATTGGCTTTTTAGTACCTGACCGACCACCGTAAAGTGCATCTTTGACATCGGAATTTCAGGAACAGAATTAGACAAATCACTCTTTAGACCAGCGTTCGCTCACAGCATTTTCACCGTAAACCACACAAATTATTCGGGATGGTTTTACAGCAGTTTCACTTATTTTGTAGTATTAAAGTATTCCAGAACCAAAAGGTTTAAGTCTTTTAAAAATCAATTTACCTTTTTACACGACGAATTACACAGTGTTAAAAGTGAACAAAAGATAAAATATTCCAAAGTTCATTTAAAAAAAAAGGATTCAAATAACCAAATAAATGGCTATATACATTTATAAACAGATACAAAACAAAAAAAAAAAAAATCCAATGTTAAACATAGGGCACCGTGTTTTGATTAATATAGGTAGGCACATCTGTTAAACGAAATTTTAACGACGAACATCGTCTAAAAATTATAATGCTCTCCCAAAATATTCTTGCATATACATTAAAACCAGTTTGCTTTATATTTAGAAAAAATATAAAATATCACTAATATACCAACTTAACATCATATTTGTTTTGTACTTAAGAATACATTTCTAGCAAATAATATTAGCGTTCATTAAATCTATGATTATATTCAACGTTGGCAACTAACTAGAAAATCGCAATTTCGAAGTAATAAAATATATAGTTTTGTATTCCATTTTTAATCTTATACCAGTAGTTCTAAGAAGTTAAGAGTAATGCAATTGAAAGGGACTGCAGCGCAAAAGTTTTCATAATTTAACTTCTTCATAGTTGTATTTATCAATTGCACTTATTATGTTTATTTAATTTTTTAATTAAAAAGTTTTCATATGAAATATTCTCTTCAATTTATCCAACTATTATTTAGATACGATTTTTTGCATTTTCTAACTAAAAATAAAGTACTTATTAATTTTTGATTAACATATAAATATATATAATTTAATTCATGCTCATTTACATGTCAGTAATCTTCTGACTTGACTTCCTTTG